ATATATATGGGAGCTATATCTAAACTTTGATCTTCAATTTCAATAGGGTTCGTCCTTGGGCCAAACAAATGGTCTGTGCAAAATTTCATCTGGATAGGACAATAAATGCGAACTGTACTTTGTTTACAAAAATACATGGACAGACGGACGGACGGACGGACATGCATAAATCGACTCAGAATGTGATTCTATGCAGATCATCAAAAGGAACTATGGTTCTATCTCGTTTCCTTTTGCCTGTTACAAATAAATGCACAAAGACATAATACCCCGACCACCTTGTGGTGCAGGGCATAAAGAGAGAGAATTTACCTCCGGAGATTTAAATGAGTTGTTTCATTGATTTTAATACACCGATAAACGTGTCTTCTATGTGTATACCCTCAACATAGAGAGGATACAACATTTGATACTACTGAAAATTGCCCCATTGGAAGACATCAGGACACTTGGAGTCCATCCAGCGGTGTCTGTTCGCCCGTTTGAATGGCTGGTGTCACGATAGCTTTCAATTAGGTCCACACTTAATGTATCGCAGTCTATATACATACATATAAATGTTCTAAAAATCAATTGAGAGCGGTTGGACCTATTTATTTGATGTTTATTTTATTTGTTTGAAATTGCAGTGAGAAGGTTTTTACTAAAGACAAATTTGAAAAAAAATCTCCAAAAGTCACGAAATTGGATAAATAATTTTTTTTTGATGTGGATTTGCGGAATTGCATTTAGAATGCAAAAATTCGTTGGAAAAATACGAAAATCCCGATGAAAACGCCAATATGTTCATATTATCGAATGTTGTTAGTTATTATACCCTGCAACACTAGGTGTTGGGGGTATTTCAAGTTTATTATTAATATTAGTCCCCGACATAAGAAAAATGTTTTGCCATAGGTTGTAGTACCCATTAGGATCTTTCAGCACGAAATTTGAAACGATTCTGGTGAATAATGTACAGAAATCATTAAAATACCGAATATCAGGAGGTACCGTTATATGGGGGCTATACGAAGACTTGGACCTGCATACAAAAATTTTGTCATAGGCTATAGTGTCCATTGCGAAATTCAAATACGAAATTTTAAGCAATTCCGGTAAATAATGTCGCTAAAATCAGGAAAATACCAAATATCGGGAGGTACCGTTATATGGGGGCTATACGAAAACGTGAACCGACATAGCCCATTTACGAATTTAACCTGCCTACTGTTCTTCCTATCTCACCGAGCTGAGTCGAAACAGCTATGGATGTCCATTTGTCTGACCATGTTAATTTGAAATCACGCTACAGCTCACAATTATCTCACGAAATTGTGCAGGATAATATGGTTTGGTCCGAATTAAGCCTATTGTTTTTACATTTAGGAGCTCAAATTGTCCGAAAAATAAATTAAAATTTTCCTGATTTTGCACGCGCTCTACAGGTCATAATTGAAAATCAATCTATACGGATTTTTCTATGAGGATAGGGAAGAAGTCTAACAGAAGTTCTTGCAAAGGTAAAATTCATTGAAGTCCCTATGGCATTATTTCAAAAATGAAATCAGCCAATGGATTTGGGGGCTTCCAACATATTATAGTGTGGATGACGTGGCTCTCATATGTATTTATCATAGGCTGTAGTACCCATTAAGATATACGAAATTAGAAAAAATTCCGATGAAAAGTGTCGCTTATAAAAAAAAGGAAAAGCAAGTGAAAAAGCTATAAGTTCGGCCGGACCGATTTTTGAATACCATCCACCATTTGAAACGAATTAGGCAATTTTCAAAAATACAAAATCCGAAAAAAAAAATCTCTTAAAATCTTAAAAATACCGAATGTAACCCTTATATTAGGGTCTATACGACGACATGAACCTGCATAGCTTTTGTCATAAGCTATTACAATATTCAAATGCGAAACTTGAAAAAAATCGGTGAATAATGTAGCTAAAATAAATAAAATATATCGGGAGGTACAATACGTGGACCTGAACAGACAATCTCCTGTCATATACTGTAGTATCCATTACGAACTTCAAATACAAAATTTGAAACAATTCATGTAGATAATGTCGCTTAAATCATCCAAATACCAAATATCGAGGATGCCGTTATCTTGGGGCTATACGAAGACGTCAACCTGCACAGACAATCTCCTGTCATATGCTGTAGTATCCATTACGAACTTCAAATACCAAGTTTGAAACAATTCCGGTGAATCACGTCGCTAATATCATCAAAATACCGAATATCGGGGGTAACGTTAAATGGGGGCTATACGAAGACGAGGACCCACATGGCTCATTTTCTGTCTTAGGCTGAAGTGTTCATTACGAACTTCAAATATTCAAATTTGAAACAATTCTGGTGAATAATGTCGCCGAAATAACCAAAATGCCGAAAAGAGAGGTATCATTATATAGGGGGGTATACCAAAACGTAGACTTACATGACCCATTTTGCAATATCAAAAGTCCTGCAGACATAAAACACATCTGATTTAAATTTTGTCAATCTACTTCGTTTCGTTCGGAAGCTAGAGTGATTTCCACAAACGGACAGACGAATAGACGGACAGACGGATGGACGGACATCCCTAAATCGGCATAGAATTTATGCTGATCAAGAATATATATACCTTGTGGGGTCTTAAATTTATATTTCGAGGTGTTACAAACGGAATAATAAACTTAATATACCCTCCATACTATGGTGGAGGGTATAAAAACGATAAAGGGAGATTCTGTTATATGTTTGATATACAAAGACTTAGACCCGCATTAACAATGTTCTGTCATAGGTTAAAATATCCGTTAAGATCTTCCACAAACAAAATTTGAAGCAATTCCGGAGAATTATGTCCCTAATATCATAAAAATACCGAATGAAGGGAGATACCGTCATAGCCTGTATTACCGATTTAAAAATTCAAATAAGAAATTTAAAACAATTCCGGTGAATAATGCCGCATTAAAATACGAGAGATACCGTTGTATGGCTGCTATACAAAAACATGGACTGACATGCCCATTACGAACTGCCTATTGGTCAAGTACACATGTCTGCTAAATTTTAGCCATCTATCTCAATTCGTTGGTAAAAAAGTGTGATTACAACAGACAGATGGACCTCATTAAATCGACTTGGAATTTTACGCTAATCCAGAGTATGTATATGCTTTGTAGGGTCTTACCATTCATAAAATTGTGGAGGATATAATAATATTCAATCGCGGACCCTGTGCTTCTGAAATTCAAATATTTTCCATATTCCATATCCTTCCTGCCACACACTCATAATTCTATTTCTTTGAATCTAAGCTTCCATATAGTCTGTCGCATTTGTAATTGTGTGCATGGGCACAGCTTGGGAAGCAATCCGATTTTCCTGCAATAAAAGCCGCTTAGCTGAACAACAAACCTCATCACTGGAATACCAAAATTTTAAATAAATTGGAAATTGCGGTTTTGAACGTTGTAACAGCCGTGCAATTAATTTTAAATGCTTTGATGTCAATTGATTACACTACAGTTTTCGGGCAGGTATTTAGCCGACAGTGAAACAAGGCTAAAGCGAACAAATATTGCTACAGTTACTTCATGGAAAATTCGCTTTTCTTCACTTTCAAATATTCCATTTTAGCCCCGTCCCATTGTATTTTTGTTATACCCTTCACCATACTATGGAGGGTATATTAATATTGTCATTATGTTTGTGACTCCTCGAAATACTCATGTCGGACCCAACAAAGTATATATATTCTTGATCAGCGTAAAATTCGAAGTCGATTTAATGAGGTCCATCTGTCTGTTGCAATCACGCTATCTTTCGAACGAATTGAGATAGAAGGCTAAAATGTTGCACACATGTTTATTTTTCCAGTAGGCCGATTAAGGTAGGTCCACGTTTTCATATAGTCCCCATATAACGGTACCTCCCGATATTCGATATTTTGATGATTTTAGCGACATTATTTACCGGAATTGTTTCATATCTGTCATTTGAAGTTCTAAATAGATACTACAACCTATGACAGAAAATTATTTGGGCAGGTCCACGTCTTCGTATACCCCCATATAACTGTACCTCCCGATATTCGGTATTGTGATGATTTTAGCGACATTATTCACCGGAATTGTTTTAAATTTGGTATTTGAAGTTCTTAATGAAAACTACAGCATAAGGGAGAAATTTTTCGGTGCAGATCCACGTCTTCGTATAGCCCCCATATAATGGGTTCCTCCCTATATTCGGTATTTTGATGATTTTAGCGACATTATTAACCGGAATTGTTTCAAAATACGTATTTAGAGTTCGTAATGGGAACTACAGTCTATGACAGAAAATTGCCTATGCAGGCCCAGGCCTTCGTATAGGCAAAATATATCTGTACCTCCCTATATTCAATACCCACCGAAATTGTTTGAGATGTCGTATATGAAGTTCATAAGGGATGCTACAGTCTGTGACAGAAAATTGTCTACGCTGGTCCAGGTCTTCGCACAGCTCCGATAGATCAGTACCTCCCTATATACGACATTTTAATGATTTTAGCTATATTATGTGGTAATGGCTTATGACAAACAATGCCCATGTAGGTCCACGTCGTATAGACCCCAATATATCGGTTATATTCGGTATTTTTAAAATTTTAACAGAATTTTTTAAGGATTTTATTTTTTGAAAATTTCCAAATTCGTTGGAGGGTATTCAAAGTTCGGCTCGGCCTAACTTACTACTTGTTGTAACTTGTTTGTTATTATTATTGAATATTTTTGAACATAAATGCCCTCTCGTCGTGTAATTACATTTTCGCTTTCACACATTAATATTCTTGTTTTGGAAGTCCTTTACGTTGCCACGCCAACATCCACTTTATTATCCTTTGGTTTGTTTTGTTTTTATTTGAAAAATACCTCAGTAGATAAATTGTGTGTGTCGGTGTGTGTGTACATTTGAATTTGTGTCAGTGAATATTTCATTAACGCTGATGATGTTTTTGAATATTTTCAGGTGCCACGTCTCGATAGCTGTGAGGTCTGTTTGTGCATGGATGGTGAAATATTTTGCTGGTGGGAAAAATGCGGTAAGTTGTTGTAATTTTTTTTGTGGGCTTTGGCTTTAAATTTCTTCGTAATTTTAGTTTGTGCTTGCGTTGTGGTTGCGCTTTAGTGCAAAAGGTATTCTTCGGTTTTGTCGGACAATGCGGTTTTGGGTTTACTTTTCCTTGGGGATCCTAAAGAAATATTTAATAGTTAGTGATGGGAAAATAAATTATGAATAAATTGAGAATATTTTTCGGTAATAGTCATGGATGGATACAAAGAAAGATGCTAGTAAAACCTTCGAGAGAAATATTTTCTTAGAATTATAATTGCTTTTTCGGAATTTTTAAACCAGAAGATATTTTTAAATGACTGTTCCAGATAAGTTATAAATTTAGGTTTTTTAATTTTTATACCCTACAACATTATTATAAGTATGATTGGGCCAAAAATTATTTTACACCTCGGATAGGATCTTCCTATCTCGCCGAGATGAGTCGGTCCGTCCGTTTGTCCATGTTAAAATGGTTTTGGAGATGATCGCAAAATATTTTGGGGTTAAATGGGCCAAAAACAGAAATTATGAACCAATCCAATGAACCAACAAACCGACGCGGAAGTTGGAGTTCAGGGTTGGACAGACAGTCATCGGCCAATAAATAGCGGGTAAAATGAACGTAAACTTTAGCGTAAAAAAAAACGAAAATTTCTACTGAATCGCGAATTTTTGTAATCCCGGCAAATTTAATGTATATTAAAAGGTCACTTCTATCGGATATACAGGCCGAGATGAAAAAACTGCAACCAAATTCAGACTGCTGTCATTTCCAAACCACTCGCCCGACAGCTGTTCAAATTAATCCCGTGACAGCTCATTATATTGTTTACAAGCGTACAAAAGCATTTTGCTAAGAGTGTTCCAGAAAAAAAGTTATTCGTGATGGAATTCAATCGTGATAGTGTGATTTCTTTATATTTGGCTGAAAAACCCGCAAGTGGCTATCGTTACAGCACTCCAGCATTTAAATGTGAATAAATCGTTTGTGTCTCGTACCATCGCTCATTAACGTGATACTGGTAGCGTAGCCCGACGTCAAGGAAGTGGAAAGTAAATAAGCGACTTGATCGAAACCCGCGTCGCAGTGACCGAACTGAACATATCGCAATATTCCATTCGGAAAATATTGAAAAATGAGCTCGAGGTAAAGCCTTTGAAATTCCAAAAGTGCAAGAACTTACACCGATCTGTTGGAAAGACAATAGACTCAAAAGAGCTAAAGAGTTACTTAGCTTGGCCGAAAGTGGTAAAGTGCCGAATTTGGTTTTCTCCGGTGAGAGTTTTCTCATTTGTGGTCCAGCAGTTTGTAAACAAACAAAATGATAGTGTTTACTTGCCAAAGAGGTCAGCTGAAATGTGCACCTTCGGTTGGCCACCAGAACTCAAGAGCCGGCCATGGTGAAGGTGTGAGCGGCAATAACAGCCGATGGTCGCTCTCCGCTCGTATTAATAGACCGTGGCATCAGAATAAATGTCGAATATTATCGCGAAAATATTCTGGAGGGTCGCAATAATGGCGCGATCTTCACGAAATTTAGAATGGAGGTCGGGGTTGGGCCAGAATAGAACCCTGTTTTTTTTGGAGATGATCGCATAATATTTATGGACCAAAAACTGAAAGATTTCATGATTTTGCAGATGCTCTACAGGTCGCAATTATAGACCAATCGAAGCGGAAGTTAGCATGGGGCTAGAGCTTAGGGCTGGGCAGAAGCCTTCCAATTTTGATGATCATAGGGTAATATTTAGAGGGTGAAATAGACCATAACATTTCTGTTAAATAAAAGTCAAATTTTATATTAAACCGCGAATATTGTTAATATAGACGAACAGGTCAATTCTGACCGTTACGTAGATGCCGATAATAAAAATATCGGATATATATAGGGAAATATATACAATGTATATATATGAAGGAAGAGGATGTTAGCTAGAATGCTTATATCTCAAAAATTGCTGGACCGATTTCGACAAATTTTTTCAATTCAGAATGCCCTCTGCAAATACGGGAATAAAATAAAACGGATAAAACGATGCCAATAATGATGTTAATATAGATTTTGTACGATTTTGTGACATTTTTATTTTTTCATATTTTTTATCGCATGCGATTTTTATACCCTACACCACAAGGTGGTCAGGGTATTATGTCTTTGTGCATTTGTTTGTAACAGGCAGAAGGAAACGAGATAGACCCATAGTTCATTTTGATGATCTGCATAGAATCACATTCTGAGTCGATTTATGCATGTCCGTCCGTCCGTCTGTCCGTCCGTCCGTCTGTCCATGTATTTTTGTAAACAAAGTACAGGTCGCATTTATTGCCAGATCCAGATGAAATGTTGCAAAGATCTTTTGTTTGGCCCAAGGACAAACCCTATTGAAATTGGAGATAATCGGTCAAAATTTAGATATAGCTCCCATATATATCTTCGTCCGATTTGCTTTTTATTGTGCACCAAACGTGTAATATATGTCCAAATGGGATGGAATTTGGCACTTACGACCGAATTGAGTTTAGAAGCTAGTATGTCAAATGTGAAGATCGGTTCAGATATAGCTATAGTTTCCATATATATTATTCATCCGGTTTGTTATATTTGTTACCCACAGCCGTAATATGCACTCTGTAACTACGATATTCAGGGAAATATATCAAATACAGCTCAGAAATATCTTTGCCAAATTTTATCGAGATCGGTTCAGATTTTGATATAGCTCCCATATATATCTTTATCTGATTTCAAATTAATTGTGCACCAAATGGACAATACAATTCCGAATTTAAAAGATACAAATGCTTCGGCATATTTAGTTCTTTGAACCTTAAATTCTAAATATAATCATAGGGTGTATGATTGAATTCTCCCATAAAAACTTTTAATTGTTATGTGGAGCTCTACTTAATTAGCAAAGTGGTGTAGGGTATCATAAAGTCGGCCCCGCTCGACTTTAAGACTTTCTTTACTGGTTTCAATTTGACTTATAATATTGAAGTGTAAATTTTGTAATTTTTTTTCACCTTACAACACAGGTTGGGGTTATATATAGATTGCAATTATTGTCCGATCCTCACGACAATTTTCACAAGGCTAGGGTTAGACTCAGAAGGGCTAGGCCTGTTGTTTTTAAAGATGTCCGCAAGGCCTGTTGTTCTTATGATGTTCGCAATATATTTAGGGATTGAAATGGACCAACAAATAACAATGTTCCTAATTTTGTAGCCGTTATAGTGGTCACAAATAGAAACCAAACGGCACGAAATCTCGCATGAAGTTAGAGTAAGGACACTATTGTGTGAAAAAATATCAACATTAAAGGCAATATCCGAAATACACAAAAGGCGAACTTCTGGCTTTTTTATGCTGATTTCGTTGACGAATATAGCCATATATTGTAGACAAGCAAATGATATAGAAGAGTCTAAATTGGAGATACAGAAGAACCTCTTGGTTATGAAGATGATCGCAAAATATTTAGGGGTTCAAATGATCTAAAAACAGAAAAAAAAATCCTGATCACACATTTGAAGCCAATCGACACGCCTGAGAAGATAGTTAAGGACAGGGAAGAATTCCAGCATTTTGGATGACCATTGGATTATATTTGGCTGTAAAATGGACCACAACAACTTACAGCACGACGGAGTGCGTGAGTGTTGGGCAAATGTCCCTGGTCAACATGCTAAGGGTAACATCTGGGCAGTGATCCGTAACAAAATTTCAAAAGCGAAATCTTCGAAAATGGATTTGGACATAAGGGAGCTTTTAACATGTTGTAAACTTTGTTTACTTTTTTTTACTAATATCCTCCTCGGTAAACCTCAAAATAAACGATTTGAAAACGTTTTGCTTCGTAACATAAATATTTTCCTATTATTATTTTTGAAAAAGAAAAAAACTTGAATAATACATATTTATAACCTTGAAAGCTAGTACCATGTATGAAATTTTTATTAAAAAATATTGTCAAACTGAGCATTTTGAGTACTAACACGAACACAAACTATTGCAACGAATCTAAAATTTTAAGAGTTTCTGCAAAAATTCCAACAAATCATCATTTTACAAGTATGACGTCAAAACAAAAATATTCTTCATCGAATTTTACTATAAGTCACCAAGGAAATGAAATCTCTATTTCCGTTGAAAGCCAAAATATTTTTGCATCAATCTTTCGAAGAAAAACCGCAAACATTTCTAAATTTTTTGATCAAATTTCCCCGAACTATTTAGGTTTTTCCAATTTTTTTCATTATTCGGCTTCCATTACTCTAAACATGTGTCTTTCTTTGTGACATGTGTTTCCGTTCTTTTGTATCCCCCCCCTTGTAAATCATAATTTTTGACATTTCAACAAAATTATTTATAATCTTTGCAACCCCATAACATTTTGATTGACAGACGTTTAATATATCCTTTACCCTTCCTCACATTTATTTTCGTTGCAGACAAGAAAGCGCAAACGAGCCAAACGCCACGATATGATGACTATTCCACACCATATGGGGAATCTTCGACAGTGAGGATACAGCCCAATGAGAAGTCCACAATTAGAACTACTCTCAGGCCAATGAAGAAGCCGAAAATTAACAAAACCTATAAATTTGGGCAAAACGACGGCGAGGAGGATGATGATGATGATGATGAGGATAGTGTAGCTGCTGATTATGTCGGAGATAATGAATATGATGACAGTACGTATAGGTATGGTAAAAGCCCCTACAAAAACCATCACAGTAAACAGCAAATGGCCAAAAAGAAACATCGAGAAGAAAAAGAGGAGCAAAAACGCAAGGAAGCATTAGAGCTTAAGGAAAAGCAAATGAAAATGAAAAAGGAAAAACTAAAGAAGCAGCAGCAGACACAACAGCAACAACAGCAGCAGCAGCAACATAAAACCAACAACAACAACAATAACGATCACCACTATCATCATCCAGAACATCACACATCTGGTGCCGGCTCCAGTAAAATTCTTAATTTTCCCGAAAATCTGCCCTCCGTCCTGTACTACGACTACAAAACGGAAGAGCATCAACATCACCAACATCAGCACCGGGAACAGCATCTAAAGCATCAGCATGAAAAGGAGCTGAAACATCGTCAACATTCGGCCAATAGTCATCATCATGAATATGGAAGCAGCAGTAGTAGCAGTGGTGGTGGTGGTGGAGTCGGTGGTAGTGGCGGTCAAGATTTTAATATGGACACGTCTGTGACAATGCCAGCTGTTGCCACCTCACAACAACTAGTGGAGTCGTCATCATCGTCTGCCTATGGCCGGAATAATGTTCGTGGCGACGACAATGATGGTGTCTTACACCGACAACAACACCAACAACCGCCATCATCTGCAAAATTCCTGGGAAACGGAAATGACAACATTTACAATGGGGATTTACAAACGGATAGTGACATTTTGCCCGAACCTCCGACTAAAAAGCCCAAATTATCGTCTATTGACACAGCAAACGAGGAGGCATCAGCTGCAGAAACACCGCATTCAACCACTCTGCCGTATCGTTTGTCAACTCTCTCCGCCACATCGGCGGGTTCAACGAATATCACAACACGACCGCTAAAGGTATGTAAATGAATCGTTTGTTTTTTTTTTTTCTTTTTTTTTTGTCATTTAAAATTGTTTAACTTTTATCCGGCTTGAAATTGGAAAATTTCGGATGCCAATTTCGTGTTGGTATCCAAGGTAGGCGAGGAAACGGGGGGAGGGGGTGCGAAAATGTTATTGCGGTCATCATGTTAACATTGTACAAAAAAATTAATATACCATATATTGTAAGGCCAATATGGCGGTATAGATAATCGGAAACACTACTCACACGGGCGGGAGGGTAGAACTGCATCTCCTGTCTACCAGAGGATAAATGTATAGTAGTCTTTCTTTAAAGAGGACTCTCAGAGGGGCTCGGTCATTAAAAGTCCTGAACAAGTTTTTAAGTATATAGAAAATATTAATAAGCATTTTGCCTGTAGGAGACCTTTAAAATGGGGGTTTCTATTTAAGACAAAAGTTTTTTGTTGGTAGTAGGATTTGTTAGGGCTCTTCTGTTTAAAAAGGGTCTTCTGTCTGTAAAACAAATTTCTTATATTGGTGAGAGATATTCATTTCCAAGAAGGTTCTTGAATAAGTATTTTTTCTATAAAATCGTTATGAAAGAGCTTTGGAACGCCTTCTAGTTTCAAAAGAGCGATTAAAGGTTTTTTTTTAAGATATATAAGTTATTGTATTCACAGAAAAGCTGTTAAAGGTCATCTGTTCATGGAAAAGCTTTTTAAGGTATTTAATATCTTAATAAGTGTTAAGAGGTCATATATCTAGAACAAAGCTTTTATGGCTCTTCTATTGGGATAAGGGCTGGTAGAGAGCCAAAAATCTTATCTCGCAAGAAAATCCTCGAAGCCTCGAACGAAAAAGTATAAACTAAGCACACGTATTCTCTCCCGATTTTCATTTATCATATTAGCAAAGCGAGAGAGTCTCTTACCACTACTAATGTATATATTGTTAGCAAGACATATCACCACAGAAGAGCTATAAAGGTATTTTCAATCTCTCTCTCTCTCTGTGCATTGGAGAGCTGTTTAATGAATTTTATCTAATGAAAAGCATTGAAGGCAATCTTTTTTTAACAGAGCTTTCAATAGCTTTCTAAAGGCAGAATAGCTGAGGATGAGCCATTTGAGGCTTTCTGAAAAAAGAAAGTTAAGCGTTTTAAAGGACTTCTCTACGCAGCTCTACATTGAAACGGTGTTCTCTAAACGGTGTTCTCCTAATAAAAGACCCAACAAAGATCTTGTTCTCCATTATTGTACTTAGAAAGACCTTCTCTCCATAGGTATGTTTTCAAAAGTTATCCCTCCATGCAGAGCTTTAAACGTTATTATATCTATAGAAGAGCTGCAAAAGGTCTTATCTTCGCAAAAGAGTCGCATAAGGTCATATATTCTCTCCAAATGAAAGGCCTTCTTTTCATAGAAGAGTAATGAGAAACATTCTCTATATGGAAAGCTGCATAGAGCTGTACATTTAATTTCCCTTAGGAGTCTTGTAAAAGTCATTCTCTCCCTAAAAGATTGGTAAAAAACTTCCCTCCAGAGAGGAGCTTTAATGGTGTTTAATACATAGAGGTAAAGATAATATTTAGGTAGAAGAGTTAAAAAAAAATTCGCCATAGGAGTCATGAAAAGGTCGTTTTTCCTTAGAAGCCTTATTAAAGGCCTTCTATCCAAGGAAGATTCTTAAAAATAGTATCTGAATGGGAGAGTTTTAAAAAGGTTATTTCTGCTTAAACCGGCTTTAAAAGCCTTCTCTCCATAGAAGAGCCGTAAAGGCATATTACAAATTTAAGTCTAGTAAAAGTCCATCTCTCCAAGGAGAGTTATTGAAAATGGTCTCTCCATAGATGTTAACTTTATAGAAGGTTTTTTCTTCGTAGGAGGGTCATATGGATGATTTCCTAATGTACAGGGTGAGATAAAAAAAAACAGCAACAAAGTCAAATGACATAATTTTTATATATTGCCTAAATTTTATTGAATGGAAGCAAAAATTGTCGGAAATAGCATCAATTGTTAAAATAACTTTAGACTTGTACGAATTGGTCACCTTTGGCTCGAATTATAGACCAATGAAACCGTCACACGCTGCCCGAATTATGCTCTGAGGTATTTTGGTTCATTCTCAGCGAAGCGCTTGCTTGAGATGACCAATACTTTGGTATTTTTTAGTGCCAACCTTTCTTTCTAAAATACTTCAGACACGATAGTCCAACGGATTGATATTAGGAGACTTTGGTGACAATTGTGCGCTGGAAATAGAGCTGGGAAACTTATTTTGTAACCATTCTTTGGTGGCGAGTGCTGAGTGCGATGGTGCTGAGTCCTGTTGGAATGTCCAAGATCTGCGGCCACAATGTATTATATTTCCAGCATATTTTCGCGATAATATTCGGCGGTTATTCTGATGCCACGCTCGATTAATACTAGTGGACAGCAACCATCGGCTGTTATGGCGGCCAACACCATCACCATAGCCGGCGCTTGAGTTCTGGTGGCCAACCGAAGGTGCACATTTTCAGCTGACCTCTTTGGCAAGTAAACACGATTATTTTGTTTGCTGGTCAGCAAACTGCTGGACAACGAATGTTTTCTCAAAGGAAAAGCCCAATTCGGCAGGTTACCACTTTCGGCCAAGCGAATCAACTTTATAGCTTTTTTGAGTATATTTTCTTTCTGTTGCGGTGTAAGTTCTTGCACTTTTTGGAATTTCAGCTCATTTTTTAATATTTGCCGAAGGGAATATTGCGATATGTTCCACTCACGAGCTATTTTTCGGCCCCTGCGACGTGGGTTTCGATTAAGTCGCTTCTTTACTTTTCGAACCATTTCTGCTTATGTTGCTGTTTTCTTTCGTCCACTTCTTTGACGTCGAGCTTCGCCACCAGTATCACGGTAACGAGCGATGGTACGAGACACAAACGATTTATTCACATTTAAATGCTGGAGTGTTCTAACCATAGCCACTTGTGGTTTTCCAGCCAAATATAAGTAAATCACACCATCACGCTTGAATTCCATCACGAATAAGTTTTTTTCTGGAAAATTCTCACCCAAAATGCTTTTGTACGCTTGTAAAAAAATATAATGAGCTGTCAATGGAATACTTTTAACAGCTGTCGAACGAGTGGCTTAGAAATGACTGAGGTCTGAATTTGGTTGTAGTTTTTTCATCTCACCCTAGGAACGGTAAAAGATATCATCTCCCCAGTAGACACGTTAAGGTGCTTGTTCCCCTAGAAGACATGGAAAGGCTCAAAATATGTTCGTTCTACAGTATGTCTGAAATAGAAGGCATTCTGTCTATAAAACACCTGTAGAATATTTAGCATAGGTACTTATGTCTTTTAGAGATCTTCTACCTCTACAAAACTTGACTTTTAGTTGTCTAAGGCATCTAAAAGTTCTTCAGACAGCAGAAAACTATTTGCGGGCTTTTTTATGGTGTGAAAGGTGTTTTATCTACAGAAAATCCGTAAAATGTCTGTAAAAAGCCTTCGGTTAACTGAAGACCATTAAAGAAACTTATGCCTGCAAAAGATCTATAAAAGGTTATTTGTCTCTGGGAAATCTTTCACAGCTTTTCTCTATACCGACGGCTTTTACAGAGTCCGCTCTAAAAGATCCTCCACAGAAGATTTGAGGAGGATTTCTTTCTCAAGTTTAACTATGAGGGGCATTCAGTCTCTAGAAGTCCCGAAAGATGTCGTTCATCTCTAGAAGGTCTTTAGAAGTGTTTCTGTCTGTAAAACTCGCTTTGGATTGACTTTTGTGCTAAGGAGACAAATTCCCTAACCATAGGAGATCTGTTGAAAGTTTCTTATCTATTGAACTTCCGTGTTCCCATCACAGAAGATCTGTTAAATATCTCTTAAGGGAGAACATCATCAAATTCCCTGCTTCGTTGAAGTTTAATAATAAAGGGAAACAGTGTCAGAATTCCCAAACGGCTCTGACATTCCTTAATAATTCGACATATGACAAGCAAGCAAATGAAGCGAATCATTGGCTGGGACTGACTGCCTTCATTTATAGATGATCTCTAGGAGGACTTTCAACTATAGAATGCATGCCAAAAAATCCCTATTTAAAGAAATCTTGTAAATTAAGGCCCAATTTCCAATTCTATCCCCAGAATCCCTATAGAAGTTCTGGTGTTCATATCAGACCTCTAAAAACCAAAGACCTGTTGATATTATTTTTATTTTTTTTTTCTTCGATAAAGTGTTCCATTTCTTTTTGTCGTCTGCCGTCGCAATATCTTCCCAGAATATTGCTTTAATTTCAATTAAGACCAAAGTCTCCCCCCACCGTATGGTAGTGGTAGGACAAAATTAACTAGATTAACAACATCCAGGAAGAACAATATTTTCATTTGTTTTCTTTCACTTGCGTTTGTCCTGCTGGCAATTAGCTTTTCAATCTTGGCACTGGGAGGCGAAGGCATAAATTCCTCTTTGCCGCCACAATTGTTGGCCTTGCTTGGCTGTTTGGCGCAGTTTATGCAAATAATTACTTAATCCCTTAATGTTATTCTTTCACCTTTTAATGTCCTTTTAGCTGGACAGCTCGTGTCCGTCTTTCTTTTTGTTCTGCCTTAATCTTTGCCATTTATTTGGAGATTTCATTCATTCACTTGTTCGGTCGTTCGTTCATTGCGTGTCATTGTTGTTAATTGTCGTTTTATCCGCTTTTATCTGCATACTAGGTTGCCACTCAGTCAGTCCGCCAGCCTTTCTGCCTATCATTCGTTGTTGTTCATTACTCTCAACACGTTAGCCTGAAATTCCATTCGACAGTTTTGTTCAGTCTTGTTTTTTTATCTTTTTCCCTGGACAATTTTTCTTTTTATACCCTCCACCATAATATGGAGGGTATATTAACTTTGTCATTCCGTTTGTAACTTCTCGAAATACTCATATCAGACCCAACAAAATATATATATTCTTGATAAGCGAAAAATTATAAGTCGCTTTAGCCATGTCCGTCTTTCTGTCTGTCTCTCTGTCC